CACCTTCCCGGGCTGTCCCCTGTCCCCTGGCCATGCTGAGGGTCCCGTGGCTTGGGGACAGCTGCAGGGCCACCAGGCCCAGCTGGCTCTGGAGCTGGGCTCTGCCCGCTGCAGCACATCCGTGTGGGTGAGAGCCTCGCTCTTTCATCTGAGGCTTGGTGGTTCTGTTGTGCTGCCATCCCACTCCTTTCCCAAGCTTGTCATCTTTTTATGCAGCGTGGCACTCGGGATGGGGCGGGGAAAGCTTTCCCTTGCTTGGGAAAGCAGGGATGCAGGAGATGGGGGAGATACTGAGCGCAGCTCGTGCCTCCTCCTGGTGCCCCGTGCTGCCAGCCCGTGATTCACCCTGCTGCCATCCAGCCAGGGCAGTTCCAGCTTATCCCTGGTGAGAGCTGAAACCCTTCCTAGGGAGGGACATGAACCCTTCCGTGGGTTTCAGCTTCCCTCCCATGAGCCTGCTAAGGGCAGGGGTGTTGTTGGAGTCCAGGCTCTGAGGTTACCCTTTCTTAGGTCACTGCATTACCTATGGGAGAATAAACAAGCTCCTACAGAAGATTTTGTTCCATATTCCAACTTTATAGGATGTTTAAGCCTTAAAAAGTCAAGTTTGGGAATTTCAGAAGGTGGATGTTGGGTGCTGTAGCAGAGCAAGGTGCAGTCCCAGGCACTGTGGATATCCCCCTGCTCCAGGTGGAATTGTTTGAAGGAAACACAAATTCCTGCCAGCAGCTCTGCAGAACTCTGCTGTGTTTGGTGGAGTTTGAGGATGCTGAGGATCATGAAATGCTTTGGGATGGAAGGGACCTTAAAGCTCATCTCATTCCCCTGTGCAAGGGCACCTTCCAGGTTGTTCCAAGCTCCATCCAACCTGGCCTTGAACACTTCCAGGGATGGGCAGCCACAGCCTCTGGGTGGGGAATGGCAAACGGGAATAAAATACAGAAGGCAGAAGATCCTTCCTGACCCTCTGAATTTGTTATAAACCGGACCTGTCTCCTGTGTGCTGCATGGAATGTTGGAAAGGATCAAGGTCAAGTCATGCAACTGCCCAGGATTATACAACAGTCTGTCCCTTGGTGACCCAGGTGACTTTATGATCTGGTGATGGAAATTAATAAATGTTTGAGGTGGATGGAAAACTTTCTGTGGCCACTGAGGATGTTTGAATTATGTAGAGTTGTCAGCCACGTGTGTTTGAAGTACAGTAGACAGAATTCAGTGATGCAGGGCAAGGCTTACAATAAGAATACCTGGTGTTTAATCCTAATTTTTCCACTGGCATCTTGACCTTGAATTCAGTGTGTGCTTATTTACCTCCAGGCCCTTGAACAGAATCTTCAGGGGGTTGTTCCTTGTCTTCAGCCATCACGGTGGGTGGGATTGCCAAGCTCTAAAGGAAAGGAGGGGGAAAGGCTTTTTCGGTGTTTAAAGTGGCTGTTAACCTAATAACCTGTGCAAATTAAAAGATGCAGAAGCCGTGGATTGGGGACTGGAGTGCTTGTTGTGACTGGAGACATGAAAAGGTCCCGTGTAATTCGGTGACCCTCGGGTTAGAGCACGCACGGCCCCGACGCCGCCGGGGGATGTGCTCAGAGCAGGCCCGAAAAAAAAAAATCCCTTCTGCTTGTGTAAGCAGCGGGAAAACAAGCAGACACTTTATACTCGGGAAGGCCCAGTAAGCCTCAGGAAATTCCTGCATTCTTGATTTTATTTTGTGGCACAGGGCTGCGGGGTGTGTGTTTGAAAGATGAGCAAGGTTGCCTCGCTCGGGCCCAGCGCCGCGGCCTCGATAAGCCAGGGCTGAATGGTTCATTGTTCCCTGAGGGAGCCTGATCAGCTGTCACTGCTCCCCTCCAAAACACTGCCTTTATTTATAAAGAAAAATGCTGAGATTGCCTTTCACACTGGAGGAGAAGCTGCTGGTTCTCTGTGCTGTTCAGTCAGAGAGCTGTGTGTGAAGTGTCCCACCTCCAGAGCCAAGAGCTTGAGCTGCCTTGGGGTTTTCTGATTAAAACACTCGTGCTCTGATCTTCTTGTCTTTCAGAGCTGCTGGTTTTTTGGAAGTGGTCCTTTGTAGTTCTAATTTTGCTCCAGAAGGTGGTTTTCCAGTTGAGCATTGGAAATGCTCATGGGCAATGTCCAATTGTTCCCCTCATAAAAATCCATCAATTGAGGCACCAAGGAGGATGGGTAGTCATTCCATGATCTGCCTGAATCTTCTATTTCACTTCCCTACCCCAATCCTCTTCTCCAACAAGGTGTCTGCTGCTCATCCATGCTAAGAAGGTGGCTGACTTTTGAAAAATTGCTGAAATGCACAAATAAAAACATCACAGTCAAAATTTGCTGCATTTGAATCCTGACTCTCTTAATGTGCTTGGCAGAAAACACCAGCTCTGCTCAGGTGTTTTCTTTGTGGGATCCCTTTTAATGAGTCCTCAACTTCCTAAAATTAGTGTCTTTAGTCTAGTAGCTTCTGGAAACAGAGTTGTTTCTGTGTTGGGAACATCATTTTGGTGAGGAAAATGTGGAGGAGAAAACCCAAAGGGAGGAAGAGCTTTCTAATGCTTCTTGTGTTGAAGGATGTTCCTTTTTGAGTGTCAGGTTAAGGATCAGGAGAACTTGGTGATCACCACCTCCCTGGCAGTTTTGGTGCTGTTACCACCTCCTTGGCTTTAAAAAGTTGAAATGGCAAAGCCTCAGGTGGGATTGGGGTGTCTGGTTTGCATTTATTTCCCTGGTTAAACCTGTCACTGGTGCTGAGCCTTGCAGATCCTTGAGGGGGTTTGGGACTGGGGCTCGAGCTGAGTGTGTACAGCACATTTTGGGCATCAGCAGTAAAGTTTTACAGAAGTGCTGCCAGGTCTGATGTGTGTGAGCATCCCAGTGGCCCTGCCAGTCCTGAAACACCAGCTGGGATGGGGCAGACAACAAAGGCAGCTCAAAAGCAAAGGGATCTCCAGCTTTGGGGTAAATAAATGCAGCATGAAGATTTCACCTGCTGTGGCGTGTGCTTCTCTGCACATCCAGGGTCGGGTTCCTCGTGGATTTGTCTCTTCCTGGGGTGACCCCACACTCTTCCCACCTGAGATGGGGCATTCCTGAGCCCAGGGAAGCAGCAAAGCTGGAGTGGTTTTGGTTAAAGAAGTGCACAGGCAACTCAGGTTGATGTATTTGCCTGTAGCTGTGTTTCCTGATGAAGAAACACAGGTTTTCTGGGTTTTAAGATTCTCTCCTGGGGAAAAAAAAAATAAACCTGACCAGTTTTGCACCCACATGACAGCGTTGACTCCTCCCTTTCAACAACCTTGCTGGCTGTATTTTCTCCTTGCAGCAAAAGCCTCTGGGTACCACAGGCTGAGAAGTTTGCAATGACCAAATTCAGTGCTAATCAAGGTCATCTTCAAGCTTGAAAACCCTACATTTGTTCAGATTAATTTTTTTTCTTTTTTTTTTTTTTTTCTTTTGGCAAGCCTGGCTGGGAGCTGTGTTTTCCTACATGTGGTTTGGGTTTTGGAGTCCCTAAAATAAAGATGCGGGGTTTTGTTCAGGGCAAATCCCAAATTCCTTAAAACTGTTCCCGCAGATGTGAGCACGATCCGAGGCAACTGATCCTGGGAGTGCATGGCAGGAATGAAACCATGGAGGTCCAGATGGTTTTTTTTTTTCATTTTATTTCCTGGGCAAAGGGACAAACTCACAGAGGAGCCAAGCTGCTCTCTGTGATTTTCTGTATTTCAGGAATCAGCGGTGAAGTTGTTGATTTTTTAAAAAATTAGGTTTGGGAAATGCTTCCTCCTCTCTTTCCCTTGCAGTGATGGAGCTGTGGGCGCCTGCAGTCGCAGAGTGGAGGTGTGAGGGAAGCTGTGAAACCTGAAATTTTATTGAAACCTGAAATTTTATTGCTGGTTCCGGGCTCAGCCTGTAACAACACATCTTGGAAAAGCTTTGGAGGGGGAGCAGCGCTCGCAGTCAGGCCATGGCAAATCTCTGCAGTTTCACTGCTCAAAGACCTTTAGATGAAAGGGCATATTTTATTGATTTCATGTTGAGTTTATTGCCTGTGTAAAAGCCAAATAGCCTCTGCTGGCTGCATCACTGAATATTTCTGCATTTTTAGGCAGCGACTGACACACTTCTGCTGTGTTTTCTTGCCCTGTTTGAGTGAGTGAGTCATTTTACTATTCTGTCCCTCAAATTCAGGATTAGTGGGATAAGGAGAACACGTGGCTAATGGGAGAAGCTTTTTCATGTTTTTAAAATACATGAAAACAGTACTGTGTTAACATAGAGACATTCATAACAATTATGCGGTGATTATTATGAATGTGCATTAATAATTAATTATGGTATTAACATCTATATCTGTGTGCTTTATGGGGTCCTTAGATGGAAATATGTTACTTGCAGATATTTTAAAAGGAAAAGGAGCCTTCCTGGAGATGATTCCCTAATGGGAAGTGCTCTGGTGTTGGCTCTCCAGAGGGGTTTCTTCATCTCTTTCATGGCTTGGCTTATAATGAGCTGCACAGCTGGAGGCTCAGGAACAAACTGAATAATCTGAATTTGGTGCCTTTGGGGAGTGCCCCAGAATGTGCAATGTCTTGTTTCTGCATCAGGAGCAGTTTGCAGAGGAATTTGATAGAAATTCCCTGAAGTGGTTTGCTGAGCTGACGTGGGGGATTGCAGCGTTCAGTCCTTTTTCCAGACTGAGATTCAGTACATTTTTAGGCAGTGACCACTCGTTCCCCGTGCCAAAAATGCACTTGACACTTGTAACTGATGCACTTTTCAGCAACAAAGCTTTGCTGTGCAGGGTTTGGGATGGATTTCCTTGCAATTACACCCCCAGACATTTTCTGCCTGCACATAATCACCACAAGGGAGCCTGGCTGACACCAATGAGGGAACCCATTTTTAAATGATGTTTTCTGGAGAATTGTGATGGTGTTTTCTGTGATGGGACTGTGTTTAACCTGCAGTGCTTTTATTTGTTGCAGAGATCCGTGCCCAGTTGGTAGAGCAGCTGAAATGCCTTGACCAGCAGTGTGAGCTTCGGGTCCAGTTACTGCAGGACTTGCAGGATTTCTTCCGCAAGAAGGCAGAGATTGAGATGGATTACTCCAGGAATTTGGAGAAGTTGGCTGAGAGATTCCTGGCTAAAACTAGGAGCACCAAAGACCAGCAATTCAAGTAGAGTATTTCCCTTTTGCTTCTGCTTTTTATTTTTTCCTCCTGCTGTAGATTTGATTGCAAGGACAAGAATGGAAAAGAGAGTTGTTTGAGTGAATGTAGGCACCAGCACTGAATTGCAGAACCAAACATTCCCCAAGTTTGTGTTGGACACAGAAGCCATTCCCTGCTCATTGATATCAGTAATTCCTGCTAGGCTGTGTGTTGTCAATAGGGAATGGGATGTAAGGACTGGAATGTGCAGAAAAGAAGTCATTTTTTGGGAGAGGTGGGCAAAGCTGTGTGCCAGATTTGATGGACAGGATTTCCTTCAGTGTCAGTGGCTTTGGTTTTCTGAAGGGGAGCTGTTCCCAATCTGTTCCCTGCTGTCAGCTCTCCGTTTTTGGGATCCCACACACGCTCTGTGTGGGAGTTGTGTTGCAGCTCTGCTACTATCACTTCAAACAGCAGGGAAATAAGGCCAGCAGCACTTGCAGAGAGAGCTGAGCCACTGTGGGTGGGGGAATCCCTGGATACCGAGCTGGGGGTCTCAGTTAAAACCTGAACATGTCCTGTCTGACAATCTGACTCTGCTGCTTGAAGCATCATTTACAGCTGGGTCTGGCTGTGCTGCTGGGTGTTGGTTCTTCCCCATTTCTCTGAGTTGGGGTGATTGTGAAAAACGCCCAATCGCTTGTTTTAAAAATTTTAAAAGTTTAATAGTAATAAAATTATAAAAATAGTAATACAATTAGAGTAATAATAATTTGGACAATTTGCATTAGGACAATATGAGACAATAGAGACAAAGAGTTATGGACAGTCTGGGTACCTTTTTCTGGGCAGCACAAAAGGACCCACGTTAACAGAGGATTAACCCTCAAAAACAACAGCGTGTTGCATATTCATACACCCCATCCATGATGCATAAATTCCATTCAAACACAGGATTCTGTCTGGGCAGTGTCAGCTTCTTCCTCTGAATCCTGACAGCACCTTCAAGGTGGGAAGAAGTTCATTTATTCTGATAATGGAGCAATAAATTCTCTTTCTCTGAAAGATTCAGGCATCCTGTGGCTGCTATCTCAGTGCCAGTCCTTTCTTTAAAAAAGTGTCCTACATAGCACAGTTTGTGTTTTAACTTTTTTTATAACCTAAAACTATATTTAACACACTACTTAAGAGAATTAATACAGCATTACTTTCTAACACAACACATATAATGTTCATTTTAATATTAATGAAAAGCCAGTCATAAAATACATGCATTTTTCACAGTGATGCAGATGGACCCTGGTTTTATGGGTTCACATCCTCTTGATTCTGCTTTTCCCAGGGGAAGGGGCTGCAGGAGGGGCTGTGGGGGTGAGCCCAGCCCGTGCTCCCCATGTGGGCAGTGCTCTGCCTTGTTGGGCTGTGTTGTCAGGGCAGCAGCTGAGGCAAACAAGGAGCAGCAGCACCCTGGGATCTGAATCATTTCTGAGATCTGAGAGGATCCATCTGGGCCCGCTCCCGCCCCGATGCAGCGTCACTTTTCGCATTGTTTGGGTCGGGACGTTCTCCCGTGTTTGTGCTGTGCTGTTGCTGTGTTTGGAGGGATGTGGGGACGCAGCAGCTTCCCGTTTCCAGCAGCAGCTCTCTCTGTGGAAGCCATTAAGGAGGCACCATTTTAGTTTCCTGTCTGCACAGCTTTGATGTCATTCACTGGGGTTGTCATTTAGAGCACACGTTGTGCTGTGTGCTCAGGAAAGCCTGGCTCCAGAGCAGAGCTGTGTCACACACTGGGGAGAAGTTGTTCTGCACATCCATGGACCTGTCAGAGTCTGAAAGA